TTGAGCTTTTCTTTACTGTTGAAGAATTTTATTTCATTTTCAAAGACAAAGGAAAGCTTTGGTGGGTACAACATTCTGGGCTGACAATTTTTTGCTTGTAGATTCTGGAATGTCACTCCATTCTCTTCTGTCCTGTAAAGTTTCCTGTGAGAAGTCAACTCTGAGTCTGATTGTCATTTCTCTATATGTCCATTGATTTTTATCACATGGACATTTAAGGGCCTTTTCCCTTTGTGCGACTGAAGAGAGCTTAATTATCATGTGTTGTGGTGAAGATCGCTTTTGGTCAACCCTGTTGGGAGTTCTGTGTCCCTTGTATATTTTGTGTGTCTCATATATTTTTACATTTATGTTATTATTTTCATTTCTTCAAAACAATTTTTTCTCATTAAATTCTTCACTGGGTTTGGAATCAAGATGGTGGCATAGGGTACAGACATGTTCGGGATGACAGAGAATCATTAGATGGGGCAAAGCACAAACAGCAGATTACAGAAACAGATAGGGATCAGGTAGTCAGCATGGGGGTACCTGGAGACCCTCCCTACACAGGGAAGAGGTGATGATGGTGGAACAGTGTTACAGGGAACAGAAAATCCACCAGCCGCTGGTGAGCAATGATCCAGACTCCAGCAACAACCAGGGATCCAGGGGCAGGCACAGATCAGCTCTTGCGACAGCCAGGGGGGAGCTTGGGTTTGCATGGGGATCTCAGGAGGTAAAGGCAGGCTGGGACTGGTCGATCCTGCCAAATAGTTTGACCCAGCAATGAACGGAAAAGGAATTGCAGACTCCGTGAGGCAGACTGGTTGTAGGTCAGAGCTAACAGCTCAGGGATCAAACACCAGAGTGGGCACGCTTCATGCTGGACTGATCCCCCAGAGAGGACAGGGCCAGCTTCTCATCCTGCAGGATCTATATGGTCCTCATATCCGAAGGCCAACAGCCCTGGCACTCTGGCAGTGCCTCGTCTGGCGCCATCTTGTGTGTTTAGACAATATCAGTGCAAAATAACAAACTAGTTAACTGAGACAATTGGCATCTTCCTAATCCAGGACACTGATTGAATACAAAAATTGACTTGCAGGCCTATAGGTAATACATCTTAGAAATCTGCACTAAAGAGAAAAAAACCAATAAACAGGATTGCAATATCAAAAATTAAAAGAAGAGACAGAGACACAACGAATGTTACTAAAGACTCACCAAGAAAGGAGCAAAGGCCTCTACAACCCACAGAATTAACTGAAAAAGACATTGAGAACACAGAATTCAGAAAACTCACTATAACGCTTCTGACCAGCAATGAGAAGTACATAATATAAGAGTTCAAAGAATTTCAAGAATTTGTCACACAGAAAATGAGTCAAATGAAATCTGACATTTCATAATTTAAGAGTAGTGTAGAGCAAATTAAACATACAGTGGAGAGTCTAAATTAGAATGAAAGATGAGAAGAAAAAAATCTCAGAATTAGAAGATATTTTCTGTCACCATGAATAAACAAACAAAAAGCTAGAAACAGAGCTAGGCCAACCTTAAAATAAGTATCCAGGAATTTAAAAATAGAGTTAAAAGACCCAACATAAGAATTATGGGAGTTCCAAAAAATGCAGAAAGATAAACTGGGAATGAAGGTTTATTCAAAGAGATAATAAATGACAACATTTCTAATTTGGAGAACAATTGGAAAATAATATACAGGAGGGTCACAGAACTCCAAAAATAGTTAATCAAAAGTGAACCTCATCATGACACATGATAATCAAGCTCTCTTCAGTTGAACATAAGGGCAAAAAATCCTTAAATATTCAAGTGAGAAAAATCAAGTGACCTAAACAGGAACCTCAATCAAACTCACAGCTGACCTCTTAGAGGAGACACTACAGGCCAGGAGAGAATGGAGTGACATGCTCCAAACTCTAAAAAGGAAAAATATCACCCTAGAATAACATCCTGCAAAGCTATTTTTTCTCTTTGAAAATGAAATAAAATTCTTTCACAATAAAGAAAAGCTCCAAGAATTCATATCCTCCAAACCTGCCATACAAATAATACTCACAGATATTCTTATGAAAGTGAAAAGGAATAGTAGCTGCCAAAACAAAAGCAAATGTGGAGAACATCCCACTAAAAGGCTAACAGAACACTCAATCAAAGAACAGCTCATTGCTAAGATGACAGGACCAAACTGACACCTATTCATATTAACATTGAATATAAAAGGCTTAAATTCAAGAAACACCATAGATTAGCAAACTAGTTTAAAAAAAAAAAAAACCTGAACAGGAGACATATCTCACCAACAAAGATCAGAGGAAATTGAAAGTGAATGGATGGGAAAGATAATCCAAGTAAATGGTAAGGAAAAATATGCGGGGGTAGCCAGCCATTCTTATATCAGATTATATAGACATTAATGTGGAAAATATTCAGAGATGAAGAAGAACAGCATATCATGATCAAAACATCCATTAAGCAAAAAGAGAACACCATAATAAATGTATATGTGCCAAATGCCAAAGCACCTAGCTACATGAAACAAACGTTAATGGATTTAAAGGGAGAAATAGACTCCAACACAATCATAATGGGGGACCTTAATACCCCATTGACATCAATGGACAGATATAAAAACCAGAAATTCAGCAAAGAAACAACAGAATTCACCTAAACTCTGGAGCAAATGGATTTAGTTGATATCTACCAAATCTTTCATCCTACAGACAGAGAATACACTTTTTTTCATGTGTACATGGAACCTTCTCCAAAATTGACCATGTTATAGGCCACAAAACAAGCCTCAGCAAATTTTTAAAATGGAAATTATACCATGCATCTTCTCAGACATCATGGAGTGAAGCTAGAGACTAAGAAATCAAAACACCAAGGAAGACTTGCAATCACATGGAGACTGAATAATATATTACTAAATGAACAATTGGTTGAAGAGGAAACCAAAAGGGAAATTTAAAAATTGCTTGCAATCAATGAAAGCATCAATACAACGTATCAACACATATAGGACATAATCAAGGCAGTGTTAAGAAATTTCATCTCAATCAATGCTTATGCTAAGAAACTAGAAAAGCATCAAGTATATGAAGCTAACCTTACAGTTGAAGGAGCTAGAAAAACAACAGCAAAGCAATCCCAAGATTAGTAGGAAAAAAGAAATAATCAAAATAAGGGAAGGAATAAACCAAGAAGAGACCAAAAGAACTATACGTAAGATCAATAAATCAAAGAGCTGGTTCTTTGAGAAAATCAACAAAATAGATTCCTCACTAACCCAACTAATCAAAAAAAGGAGAAAGAAAATACACATCAATAGCATCAGAGACAAGAAAGGAAATAAAACAACAGATACCTCAAACATACAAAGAATTATTAGGAACTATTACAAGCAACTATATGCAAACGAATCAGAAGACCTAGAAGAAATGGAAAGATTTTTGAACACATACAATCCACCAAAATTGAATCAGGAAGTGATTAACAATCTAAATAGACCTATAACATTGATTCAGATTGAATCTGTAACTAAAGCCCTTCCAACCAAGAAAAGTGCTGGACCAGATGGCTTCATTGTTGAATTCTACCAAATGTTTCAACAGGAACTTCTCCAATCCTCCACAAGCATTTCCAAATAATAGAAAGGGAAGCTATTCTTCCAAATTCTTTCTATGAAACCAATATCACCTTAATACTAAAGCCAGATAAAAAACAACAGAAGAAGAGAACTAGAGACCAACATCTTTGATCAACGTAGAAACAAAGATCCTCAACAAAATACAAGCCAAATGGATCCAACAGCACATCAGGCAGATCATTCACCCAGAACAGGTGTGATTCGTCCCAGGCATGTAGGGCTGGCTCAACATTCGCAAATCAATAAATCAATGAATAAATCACATCAACAAATTGAAAAAATAAAAACCCTACGATCATCTCAATAGATCCAGAGAGGGCATCTGATAAAATCCAACACCACTTTATACTGAAAACCCTAAGCAACATAGGCATAAAATAAACATTCTACAACACAAAGCAATTTACTAAAAACCCAATGCCAGCATCATACTAAACAGAGAAAGATTGGAAGCCTTCCCACTAAAATCTGGAACTACATAGGGATGTCCACTATCACCAAAGAGGAATGTTTAAAGAAACTCTTGTATGTCTACTCTATGGAATACTACTCAGCCATTACAAAGAATGAAATTATACCATTTGCAACTAGATGGTCCCAATTAGAGACCCTTGTGCTCAGTGAAATAAGTCAGTTTCACAAAGACAAATACCATATATTCTCTCTAATATGAGGAATCCATCATGCAAATTGCAATTATAGCGGGGGAGTAATGGAGACTACCATATCCAGATGTCAAGACACAATGCAACACGCATTTCTGCTTCCAAACAAAAGATGGACTCCCAATGAAAATGTTGGACATATCTAGACAATGGGATGATGGACTCTGCCATTGTCCATCCCTGCACTGATGGACAGATGACTGTTTATAAGGAACTATACTATTATAATAATATAGGATAACTCAATGGGGAGAAGGGAGTTGGGGAGGGGGCAAGAGAAATCCCAGAGCCTATGGAATTATATTATAAAACGGTAAGAATAACAATAAATGGAAAAAAAAGATGGGGGCCTGATCCCATCCAGAAGGACATCATCCTCATGCCTCAGTCACTTACCAAGCACCTGATGCCTTAATCCACAGCCTCGGGAGTAAGTGTCCATGTGTATCATGAAGCTGACTCACTCAAACATTCACCCGTGTGCTTCCAGGCAGCAGCTCAGATGTCTTTACTGCCTCAGGGGCTGGGTCAAAATTAGTCCCCTTAGTCCCAGTTCCACCACTGGGCACTGGACATTTGAAGACTCCAGGCTGAAGGCGAGATGGGGTGGATCTTCCCCAGTCCTTTATTGTGCTGTGTCTTTCTGGTCTAGGTGTCTCCTCTGGGCTTTGGACTTATTTGTAACTCCTTGTAGATGGTGTGGACAGCTGGAGTAAGCTCGGATCTCCTTGCACGGCAATTGCTTGCCTCTGTGTCGTTCTACAATTCAAGTGGGGATGAGAACTGGGCTTGGTCAACTTCTAAGAATTAGGTACAGGAGTCATTTAAACTGCATCCCCTACTCTCTGTGTAGTTCCAAATTCAACCAGATAACTCTGGCTGTCAACTCGGATATAATTTTCCAGAATGGAGCTACAGCCCAGATCCCCATGATCTTTGCACTTGCTCTGTCCTCTGCCCAGGATGCTACACCCTGTTCCTGCCACCTAAACTTCCAGAGCACTTCCTCCTTCATGTCTTCCAGGGCCTGTATTCTCAGCCTCTGATCCCACTCTCCACCCCATGTTCCCCACTCCTTCTCCATGCTTTGTTTCCTCCTTAGCATTTGTCATCTTCTAGCACTTCCTGCACCGCACTATCTTACTTGGCATTCTTCTCACCCCCATCCTATTCCCATTACAGTTGTCCTCTACAAGGTTACTGCACAAAGTTCATGGATAAAGGAATTAGAAGATAACTTAGTCTTGAGATCTATACATAGCTTTTAGCTTTTGATGATATACACTTATCACTTTATAAATGCAATTTCAGAATTTTTCAAGGTGAGACCAGGAATGTCAGTGGTACCTGGGAGCTTGGAGATTCCCCAGGCCCAATGTAGACTCGCTGAATCAGAAATTCCATTACTAAGCCCTCTAGGCAATGCTGACATGAACTTACGTTTAAGAGCACTACTCCTGAGCCAGAGCTTTCAGAGCCCTTTTCTCCCCTAGCTGGTCCTGTCACCAGGCCTCCATGCTCAGTGCAACTGGAAGGTAGGTGGTCATAGGAGATGCTGTCCCATGGAGGGCAATACACAGGGAGCATTAATGGTGGGCCTGGGGCAGGTAGGGGAGAGGAGCGAGGAGAGGAGAGAGAGCTGGATTTGGTTATGGCTCCTCAGATCTCTGCATCTGTCCTGCCTCCAGGTTCCCCTGCAGTCCCTGGCTTTACCTCCTTTAGGCCTTGGACAGACAACAGACCCTGATCATTTACATTCCTGCCTGTCCTGTGCCTGAGCTTCAGCCTGTGGGTGGCGAGCCTCTGCAGGCTTTTTATCCCACTTTCACCTTGGCTAAGTTGTATGGCCTTGGGCCAATCACTTGCCTCACTTAGTCTCACTCTCTTCCTGTGCACCGTTCGACCACCTCTCCTCCCTGAGTGGCAGTGAGGCCTCACTGATCCTGGATGCATATCTGTGAGGCATCTTCCCTTTGTAACCCAGCTCCCAGCATGCACCAGGTGCCCAACCTATTCATGGCAAGAACAGGACCAAGTCTGGTGGTGGAAGAGTACCCTGGACTTCCCAGGCACCCCTGGCTTCTTTACATAGGTTGGTCTGTGGTCCAGTTCTCTAAAACTCACCTTTGGCTGTGTCAGGAGGCCAATCTCAGCGTAGGGAGTGTCGAGACTATCAGCTCCTCCAGTCTGTTGGTTAGCATAGTCCACTGTGTGAAGGGCCTGGCGAGCAGCTGCTGAATGACAAAGTACAACTGAGGTAAGCCCTACTCAGGCCCATCACAAGGGCAGCCATGGTGACCTAGGTCATAAGCTTAGGCCCTGTGCCACTGCCCTGCACTTGCCACCCACCACCTTTCCTTTCCTACAACTCCCATCCCCAGCAGGGCTACACCCTGGCTTCTGCAAGGGAAGAGTCCCAAGAGAGCCCAGCAAGGTCCTATCAGTCCCTCCTTGGGCTGCTCCATCCATGGTACCCTCCTCCCCAGAACCACCATCCTCAGAGTCTCCCCAGCACCTGCCTCTGTCAGTCTTCATCTTCCTCCACCTGTAGATCCACAGGACTATCCCCAGGCCCACCAGAGGAGCCAACAAGATGCTGACCATCCAAATCCAATTGCTCTGAGGATGACCTGGGGTTGAAGAGAAGCAAGTATTGACTCTGCCTCCCTCATGCCTGCTGGACTAAGGGGAGTGAGACAGCTTTGGCTCAAGGTCTATCAACTAAGTTGCTATGGCTTAGATGGTTTTGCTCCTTCTAGCCCCTCTGCCTGCCTGTCTCTTCTCCTCTCGGGCCTCCAAAACGAACATACATTTAAAGGGAGAGGAGATGGCAAGATCTGTGCTCTTCAGATGTCAGAACATGCTGTGCTTTCTGTGAGGGATGTATTTCTGACAGTACAATAGAAGACTCCTATTCAACCCTCAAGGCCCCAAGCAGGTACTTCCCTTCTTTGACACCTTTCCCAAGTCATGTAGCAGTTTTCCAAGGTCTTCTGTTTTCTTCAACTATATGTTGTATTTCCCTTGACATCAATGCTTAATATCTGGTTTTATACTTAGAAACTTATTCCTCATTTTCATCTGTATTTTCAAATCATCCATGACATATTATATGTCATACCATGCTGGTACCTTTATGTATAAAGGTTTTTCAAAAAATTTACTGGAATGCAGTCACAAAAGAAGTCCTCAGAAACTGCATAGGAATGTATATTATGAAAATAATTACATGTGGATTTCAAAATTTGTGCACCAAGATAAACTTAGTTTTTAACTTCATTTCCATGAATCTTTTTTTTAAGATTTATTTTTATTATTTTTTATTGGAAAGGCAGATATACAGAGAGGAGAGACAGAGAGGAAGATCTTCCGTCCGATGATTCACTCCCCAAGTGAGCGCAACCCATGAATCTTTTTAAACACTCTCGTAGATTATATCTTTTCATTCCTGTAACAACAGTATGAAATAGATAGAAACATTATTCATCTTTTAGATAGAAAGTTCAGACAGTTAAATAGTCTGTTGAAGGCCACCCAATGCAAGGCCCCCTTTTCTATAAACTCCTTGAGGACGGGGACTTCTCTTCCTTTTCACTGTGCTACTGTGCTCCCCCAGAGCATACAACAGGTACTCAGGGAAGTTTGCAAGCAGAATGCTACTGGGAAGAATCAGTAAGGACATGGCCAGGAACAGACTGCTCAGATGAGAGCCCCACAGGAGCAAGCAGAACTCAAACACTAGAAAGACAGAGAAGTTGGCCTGGCTAAACTTCCTTTTTTGCTTCGCTTCCTTGCTACAACAAGGGTCTGAGAGCTCAGGTTCTTTGAGAGTGAGTACATGCTCAACCTACCATTGGAGAGTCCCTCCATGCAAACAAGATGACATTAGACTGACTGAGGGAAATGTGGTCATGAATAGGTGACCGAGGTGAGAAGAGGGCCACTATAGCTCACACTGACCAGAGGCAGCTGACTGTTGTTTAGACACTCAAGGGAGATGATCATCCTGAGGAAGGGCAGGCCATGCCTGCAGTAGAAGCAGCAGAGATTTAACCACCTGCATGGGCGAGGCATATATGATCCAGGCCATGCATGGGGGTGGAGTAACCTGAATCAGATAGTGAGCACTTTAGGACCAGAGTGAAGGGTTCCTAGAAGCTCACCTATCTTTGCTCCTCCAGTCTTTCTCTTCCTCTGATTGGGTTCTAATGACTCACATAGCCTCCAGTGCTCCTTGAGGCTTGAGGTAGGGCTTCCTATGTTCTCTGCATGTCTTGGCAGTGACAAAGACTGCAAACACAGGCATGGCTTCTATGCAGACACATTTGAGAAATATAACAAGGCTGCAGTCAGGGGCACATTTCTTTGGTCCTACTACAGGAACAGCCTTGCAATGTACACCCATCCCATTACTTTCTTTAGTTTCCCAGACTTATCCCTGTGACCCCGCTCCCCATCGCACTACATCCTCTGCCAATCATTTTAATCACCCTTGCTCGTACATCACACTCACCCTTCTGTGGACAGATGCCCCTCAGGTCTAAGGTGGCATTCTTCTGGTCTGCAGGATTGCTGACCACACAGGTAAGATGGACATTCCACTGGTCTATGGGCAGGCTCAGGCTCAGATTCTTGGAGTGAGGGGTTGGCACCAGTGTTCTATTCTGCTCCAGATTGTTGGCCATCCAAGTCACTGTGAGGTCTTCAGTGTACCCTGGGGTGTCACACTCGAGGGTGACATTGCACCAGTCAGATGTGTTGGATATCGAATGAATCTGAATCTGGGGGTGTGGAATGGGCTCTGAGATAAGAAAGGATGAAAGAAAAACTAAGCTTTAGGACCAGGGGTCCACTGACTCTATCAATAAATCTCTCCCCTATAATATGCAGCTGTGTGAAGTTGCCCATTCTCTAGGAAGTGGCCTGAGAACCAAGCCTACTACCCTCCCCCCCACACTGAAATTGTTCTGACTCAGCCTAGGGACAGAAAGTTGAGGCTCTTCCTTACTCAGGAAGGGACTAGGAGCATCTCTCTGTCCATCTACTTCAAGAAGCATGGGGTAGATCACTTCCTGATCTTTTCCCATCTGCCTTGGAGCCCAGTTGCCTTCCCCTAAGTTCCCAGCTCCTTCAAGTTACCCTGCTTGCACATTTTCCATGATCTTTGTGGGAACATGCATTTGAATCTAGAATGTAAGCCCTTCCCACCGGGACTGAAACTAAAGGGGCAAAACAAAGGTAGTTCAGCACGTATGAGTCCAGAGGATGTAACTGTCTCTGTAAAAGAAATTCAAGGATGTGCAGGAAAAGAGTAAATGATGAATTCAAAAACCATGTAGAAATATAGAAATAAAGTATAGCACTAATCAATTAAACTTACATTCAAGCCTATAATATTAATCATTACACAGTAAATATGATAAATTATTCATAGATGCAAATGTTTTTCATTAAAGTAAATTTGTTCATTGTTTCCATTTCCACACATTTTCAAATTGTCTTTACATATGAATGTGTATATGCAAATATTTATATAACTGTGTATGTATATAATGATCAGACATGATAGCAACTGAGATGATGATGAAAATAATGTATTAAACTTCTTGTTACACCCTGAAAGAGGAAGTGAGTTTCTTCAATTATTGCAATAAAAGCTTGCTTATTAATTAAGAGAATGAAAGTATAAGACCGTATAACTATCAAGATCCTAGAAAAGTTTGATTCAAGGAAAACTCTATGAAACAAACAAAGCACAGGAAAAAAAAGAAAGTATAACATACATAAATGTCAAATAAGATGTTGGTAATAGATCGATACATGTAAAACACAATTGAAACACATTTAAATTCATTAAATCCCTCTGCTAAAGGGTAAGACTCTCAGCTTAGATAAATCCAATGAGTATTAACTACATCACCTATTAATATACATTGAGATTTCAAAGAAAGATAGAAAAAGACAGGCTAGTAAAAGTCAACAAAATTATTACAAATGTAGAAATAGTTATTCCAGAACAAATAACTAATAATACTAAAAAATTAAGTAAAATGAAGAAAGATTTCTACACACCTAAAAACATATACCATTAATACAATTTGGAAATGTGTAAATTGATACAAAATAAAGTGAAACAACACAAAAACGCACAAAAAATGCTGAAAGTACAAGGATAAGTTACCAAATCCACTGTTAAACAGGAGGGCAGATCTACACAGATCAGAGTGAAGGGTTTACAACAGCTGGAAGCAGACCAGAATGGCCAGGAGGACAACCCACAAGGGAGCTCACTGCACACGCACTCCCACTGCCCGCTCTGCTATTGCCTTCATCTGTCATGGCATCGGTAAGCTGGTTCTGACCCTGGGTGTCTGTTTTGGTTGCAGTTCTGACCAACAAAGCAAGAGAGAAACAGTGAGGTGGGATGAAAGGTGTTCAGTGGTGGAAAGAAAAAACCTCAATACAAGACAGACTTGTCTTCTTGCCCTCCTCTTTGGCTGTGTTGGTGGTGGATGCCATCTGGAGAAGCAGCCATTTTGTAGCTGTGAGGAAAAAAATCATGACCGTAACTTTTGTAAGGATGCCAGAGCAGAAGGAGTGAGTCAGTGATGAAGCTGAGCAGCTGGGCCATTGCTCTCCCCTGACTTTTTATACATGAGGAAAACAAACCCCTCTTCACGTAAACCTTTGAAAATCAAGTTATATGTTCATATAGTGAGGCATTTTCCTTATTCAGACACATGGAGAACAATAAAAGAGTAACCATTCAATCAGCAAAATCAAAAGTTGATTTTCTTAAAGTACCAATTACAAGAAAAAAATACTGCTAGACACAACTAAAAATTAAAAAATAAAAGATACAACCAAAAAATCAAAATTAAAGTCAATGACATTTGGAGTGAGAATTGAGGTGTAGCAAAAATCTAGAAAAGATACTATTAAAAGAATTGAAGGAATGCAATGTCCAAATGCATATGACAAATATTAAAATGTAAGTGAAACAGTATTTTGCTTGGAAAGTAGAAAGAGTATAAATCGAGTTAAAATGAGGCAGCAAACCTGAAGAAGCGTATACACCTAAAAGAAATTACAAACTTTTAAGACTGAGTGCATTGCATTTTAGCCTTTTGATAAGGGAAGGCTGAATGCTACCAAAGGGGCAAGGGATATAAAGTTGTGCTTGATACAATGCTCCAGGGCTTAGAAAAAAACTAAACAAACAAACAAAAATTACTTCTCAGGTCAATCTTTTTATATTTAATTTATATTTTGACAATCTTTACATAATTAGAGTAAAAAGGTTCTAGCGCTATAGGAAATGGGTAAGACAACTCCATATTGTTTCCTTCATATAGCTGAGGTAAAAGGGGATTTTAAGGGAGAAGCCCCACCCAGTCTCCCACCCACCCCAGGTCCCCGATGTGGGGCATGCTCCGAGGGTCTTGCTCAAATGGTTTTGATAGTTCACCAGTTATGAATAGCTGCCAATCTCACCACTCCAAGCACGATGAGGTCGTTGAAAAATCCACTGATTGACATAGTCCATCATAGAGTCTCCATTTACCCACTTTTTCTTTTTTCTTTTTTTTTTTCCAATTTACCCACTTTTTCACTGCCAACATATAACTGAGGTGGTTGATTGACTTGTTCTGTCGTCTCTCTTTTCTTGGTTAGGGTTCTGAGTCCAGCATTTTGATTGGGGAGATCCCCAAAGAAACCTTGTCTGAGGTGTTCCCAGACCAGATTCTTGTATATACTAGCAAGTGCAGGACCTGGCACAGTTCATTGCCTCGATCAGGTGGTGGTTGCAGTTGCTGGGTTGGTTCTGTTTCCATCCATGTCTTCCACTGGATTGCAGTCCAGTGCAATGGGTATTGCTGGAGTCCAGCTTGGTTCCACCCAGCACATACTCGGCCCTCACATAAACCAGTGGGAGCTGCAGCCTAGTCGGTGTGATCCACACTAACCCCCACCAGGCCTGCCCTCTACTCTGGATTGCCAGTATGTGCAGCAGACTAGTCCAGTCTGTCCCTCATCCCATTCAACTCTCACACTTGTCAATGAGTATTAAAGTCTAGTTCCATCTAATCAGCTCAACTATGCAGCCCTCACAGATGTTGTTGGGTGTCTCTCTATCTAGCCACCCAGCCCCTATCCTAGTTTTCATGCCCTTCCATGGGAGTGGTAACTCAAGAGGGAGGAGCCCACTATTTCCCACCCAGGCCTCTCCCACTCCCGGATTATGCACTCTCCAGGTGGTTCTGTGGTTTGACTTGACAGAACTAGCCCCAGTACCAGCTTCTTCCAGCTGATGCTGTGGCTAAGCCCAAACAACCCTCACCCACTCTAATTTTATTTGCACCAGTAGGATCAATCAGTCAGCCTGGCTTTTCCCTGATCTAGTCCACATGAGGCGCATAGGTGTTGTAGTCCTGCCTAGTCTGGTCTGCCCCCATCGCAGTTCATGCTCTCCAGTGGGAGTACCTGTCCATGTTTCCCTTGCCAGCTCCACCCCCTCCCTTCTTGGTTCTCACGCATGCTGTTGTGCGCTGTGATCACATCTGGCACAGGCAACCTCACCTTGTCATTCCGTATTGTGTACTGCTTTTGTCACGAGCGAACCTGGCTCGACCCACACTCGGTTCCAGTGCTCAGATTTGCCAGTGGATGACATGAACTGATTCAGCCTGGTCTGCCCCTGACCCCTGCCAAATGTATGCCAGTGGGAAACTTTCCATGGCCTATTCTGGGCTGTGTCCTTCCATGCTTCTTGTGCTTATCTGCAGGGTCTGTGTCCTGCCAGAGGAGTTGCCCAGGCTTCTCCATCAGAACCCCTCCCAATGCCAGATTTCATGCATACCAGTGGGTCCATGAGCCAGCCCTAATCAGTTCGCCTCCTGTCCTAGTAGGAACAGTGGGTTTTCCTGACTGGCCTTAAACCCAAACTGGTTCTTGCTGTTGGATGTTTCAGCCCAGCCATGGGCTCATCCATACCCACTTATAGCTCACATATGGCTCAGTAGGGGTTGAGACCTAGCCCAGTCCATTTCACATCTACCTGGCCCTCCAGAACACAAGAAGGTGTTGGATTATGGTCCAGCTTGGTGCGTCCAGTCCCAGTCCACACTTGTGCCAAGGGAGACTACAACTGTTTCCTTATCAGAATGCAGCCCCCATTCCAGCCCACACGCCCCTTAGTGGGACTCTCCATCCAGCTAGGGTGTCCCCTTAGCTCCCCAACCAGGTCTGTTCCCAGCCAGTGTTCAGCATGCCAGTGGTTGCTCTGATTCAGCTTGGCACTACCCCTCACCTGTCCTGACCCCCTGGCTCACGCAGACCAGTAGGTACATGACCCTAGCTGGGCATGACCTGTGCTCCATCCTGGTCTCTAGTTTCACTTGTGGGCTAAGGTCTGCTCAGTCCTGCCCGGTCCACCCTGTTCCATTGCCATTTCACACATTGACCTGCCATTGGAGCTACTTTCCCAGCTTGTCCGACCCCAGGTCTGAACCACATGTTCACCAGTGGGAGCTATGACTTGCCAGGGAAGTTTCCCAAGTTTCTCCACTTTATCCCATCCCAGACCTAGTTCTCATACACGCCATTGGGTTTTAGGCTAGTGCCTGGCGTAGTCTGGCCTTCCTTTTGGCCTTGCATGAGCTGGTGAACGTTGCAGCCCAGCCCACTCCACACCCTATTCAGGATGCACATTCAGGTGCTGCTGCCTTGACCAGACCAGACTGTTGTCAGTTCTTTAATCTATGATTTTATGGCAGGCTCCTTGGTCACACCTAGTTAAGTCCATTACCACCCTGTCTCTTGAACTAACCCATGGGGTTAGAATTTACACAGGGTTTGGCCCACACATCTCCCACGGAGTCTTCCCCGGATATGGCTCTCTAGCATGCTTGTTAATGTCATGGCCCTGCCTAATGTGACCGGTCTCTGCTGGGTCAGTTCTGTTTCCAGCCCTGGCATTTACTTGAACCAATAAGTGTTGTAGTCCAGCTTGACCCTACCCACTTCATACTTGGTCCTCATGCAAACCGGACCAAAATCTTTCACATGCTGGTTAATGTCTTGACCGTGCTGAATGTGACCAGTCCATTATTCAACCACCCAGTCAAGTAACGGTGCCCTGCTAGACAGCCCCCCATCCATAGCTTTGGTGTGGACTGATGTGTGGCAGTCAATGATGCTCTATGTTAACACCTCATCTCAGGATTCCTTATTTAGCTGATGATTCAGTCTGGCCCGAATAGATCTTATGGACACTCCCCTCCAAACCATCAGGTCTCAGTCCCCACGCTTATCCAAACGTTTCAGGCCCTGTAACTGGGAATCACCCAGAATTCATCTCTCATGTACACTAAAGCAGGCCTTATTCATGGGTGTCCCTAAGCATCAATTTCATATCCTAAAAACCCCAGAGCTCACTGCTGGGTGGTCAACAGGCAGAGCCTGGCATGATTTGGTATACTGGCCACCCAAAGCCAATGACTCAGTCACTGCCTTTTGACAGTGGCTTTGGCCTGAGTCCCCAGCCTTGGATCCAGCCCAGCAGGGGCACCTCCCACACCCGCCACACTGCAGGGAGCTGACATCCACCCCCAACCCCAAGTCCTGAACCCTCCCAGACTTGTCCTGCTGCAAGCTTTTGGCAGCAGGGAAGAGCTAGGACTTTAATCCCATTCCCAAGGTTCCCTCATGGTGCACTCACTCTGAGGGAAGATTCCTCTTGGCCTAGGAAATGCCAAGGGCTCAATCACTGCCTTTTGGCAGTGGCTTTGGCCTGAGTCCCCAGCCTTGGATCTGGCCCAGCAGGGGCACCCTCCCCTGCCACAGTCGCCACACTGCGGGGAGCTGACATCCACCCCCAACCCCAAGACCTGGAACCCTCAGGTCAATCTTAAAGTATAATTTAAGTTGAACACTCACATCAGATAAGGAGAATGCCAAAAACAAAACAGAACAAGTCAAACACACTAACAAACCCATGGACTAATTTCAGTTATAAATAGAGAATTTAAATCCTTAAGCAAAATATTAACCAATATAATCTGTTAATACATCACAATGAAGCTTGGTTTATTATTGAAACCTGAAGATGTTATAATTATGAAATTTATCAATGTCTTTTACTCCATTAGCAAATGAAAGGACAATAGTTAGCATTGCTTGAGCAGGGATTAACTCCCAGGCACAGCTCCAAAGTCTTCCTATTACCTCCTTTAATCTTCACAACACCATGAGGCTGCAAGGGGGCAGCTGTGTTAGCAGGATCCACAGGACAGCCATACGCCAACTTTTCCAAAAAGAGTCATAGAATAAATATTTTAGGTTGTTGAGGTCATAATGTCACAGCAACATAACTTTGTCTTTGCAGTACACAGCAACAAATACAATATGGAAGTGAATGGATGTGGCTGTATTCCAGTGAAACCTTATTTACAAACCAGGCTTTGGGCTGAATTTGACCTGTAGCCATAATTTTTCAATCATCTATTTAGGATAATTACTAAAAACTAATTCTTGTGTCCTTCCCAAGATTCACTGGAGAAAATGATATTTGTCTCATTGTACCTTCTTTAGAGGTCTCAATCTAATGAAATTGTAATAACTTAAATATAAATCTGAGTGCAAAGTGTTATGAATCATGGAAGTATGTATTCACAGATCATGTCCTTAGGTATTAAAGCTTTTCATTCAGCAACTGGTTCAGATGCATTTTTATTAGATATTCTCAATGAATGAAAGGATATTAGGTTTCAGTAGTAAAAATCCTAGAAAAGTCCAGTATGCTTTTTTTAAAGATTTATTTATTTTTATTGCAAAGTCAGATATACAAAGAGAAGGAGAGACAGGGAAGATCTTCCATCCAATGATTCACCCTCCAAGTGACTGCAACGGCCGGTGCTGAGCCCATCCAAAGCCAATAGCCAGAACCTTATCCAGGTCTTCCACGCGAGTGCGGGATTCGCAAAACCTTGGGCCATCACGGACTGCTTTCCCAGGCCAGACACAGGGAGGTGGATGGGAAGCCGGGCTTCCGGGATTAGGATCAGCACGTTGAAGATGAGGATTTCAGCCGCTAGGCCACCACACCAGGCCCTCCAGTATAATTTTATAGGACTCCCTTAAATATTGTTTGGCCAGAGAAGTATTTTCTGAATGCCCACTGGAGCTGTGTAAGAGGATTGGTGAGTGCCAAGGAGAGTGGAGGGCAGATTTCGTTCTCAAGGGGAGAGCAGCCAACATGCTGGCTCCAGTACAAACAAGGCAGACAGTGTTAAGATCCAGAAAAAAGCATTTTAAAAGAACCTCAATACTTTAAAATATAAAGGCTCATTCTTAGGGCAGAAAGGTCAGGAAACCTTTATTTAGAACATTCAGTTCTGAAAGCCAAAGGGCATGGAATGACAGAGGAGGCGCAGTTCTGTGGAAACAAGAGGAAAGCTGGCAGCAAGTGACAGAGGGCCTCCAGGGCAGAGTGCAGTCATTAGTCCTATCAGTAACAAGGAAAAAGCAAGTGCAGATGGAGGATTTGATTTGGATATTGGTGCTTTATCAGGGAAAAATGAGGATGAAGGCAAGACAGCTAGTAGCACTTCTGGCTTTTTCCTGGCAATTTCTCTTTTGCTACAACCTGGTCTTTTTTATATATGATTATTAATCACAGCACTCTGGCTTTATTTACAGCCGAGAGTAGAAATCCTGTGTCTTTCCTGCAATAATTGGCTTTTTCCCTGACCAATGACCAATACAAATCAGCATGGGCCTCAGCATAAGAGTACTAGAATTGCCCCTGTGTGAAGAGGGCCAAGAAAGCCCCTTTGTCCTCTGCTGGGTGGGATGCATAGCTGCCAGTGGACTGCATGGAGAAGCCCAGAGGAGCAAAGCTGATGAAAGAGTGAAAAGGAAACAGAATTAGAGACCATCTGGTCCCACCAGAGAGAGGAGAGAATACTCATTACCTTCCTCACACCACAACCAGAGGGTCAGAGAAGATGCTTGCTGATCTTAGTGCCTGTGGGCTCTGTGTTATCTTGATGATAGACATTGTCTGTTATCTCATTTGAGCAGATTTCCATTTCTTGTTGCCAATGAAATAGGATAAAACTGTATTTCTCTGAAAGCTAAGCTTAGAACTTAACAACCAAGAGGAACAAGAGGAACAGGATCAAGAATGAGAAGTCGGAGGCCAGGGAAGTAGGTGGCATTTTTCACATTCTTTACTCACTGAATACCTCAACTCAGACACTCAATCCAGTCACTCCAGGCTCTTGTTACAAGTGTTCCTACCTCCTATATTGGAATCCCTCACTCTTCCCCAACTTCCACTACATGAGGATTTGTGGGTTGCGCAGGGGAGAGGTAGGAGATGGGTATTCCCCGAAAAACCACCAGTCACCCTCATCCACTGAGTCACCCTCTGCACCTACAACTTAGATCTAAGAGATAGTTTTGTCCTGAGAACACTTCAACATGACTGCAGATCAATTCATCTAAACCCGTTTCACCTAATGACCAGTTCCAACAGTCAAACTCCTTCTCAGTGTTTTTCTTTCATCTTTTCAATGTCCAATTTTGAGGTTCTCTTTTTGTCAACATGTCTCTAATAAGAATTTTTACGTCAGTTTCTGAAACAACCAAATAATAATATTTGTATTTTTCTGTTCATAATAATTAATATAACATTATAGGAATGAAAAATCTTTTATCCTTTTGGGTGGCTTTGCTTCTCCCTTTTCTTGGATTCTTAATTAAGCAATTTAAGAAATTTTAGCTAACTTTTGCTAAAAGTATCTTTAAACTTAGTTTTTATTTTTAGCGCATCAAAGGAGATGAAAAAAAAAAACATATTGGGCTTATTTACAGGATGTTAGGTTGGTTTTATTTAGTCAATAACTATAAATGTCTTTTTATTGTCTGTAGTTTCTCCTTTTTTCAACATCAAAGAAAGCCCACACTTACATACATTTATTTAGATAAACTGTATGACATTAAAGGAATTCAGTTTAGATTAACTAATTTTAGAAAGGTGGTTGTTGGGATGCTGAGTTGGGCAAGGACCCACATCTTACCATATACACAGAGTTGAAAGGCCTCCACTTGAGATTGTCCTGACTTGAATTTGATTTCTGCTGTGTACAGCCCACTCATTTCCACAGTGAGATTCTTGATGATCAGGAAACCCAGCTTTGTCAGGTTGAATCTGTTCTTGAGGTCTTTAATGTCATACCAATCAGGACCAGGGCCATCAGGCTTCCAGGACACCAGAAGCTGCTTTCTCTGAGATGGGGACTCCCAAGACCACTCAATCTCTCGGATATTAGGGTCTGGTGAGGAGTTCAGTGTCAGCTGCACAGATTCCCCCACAGTTCTGTTCAACGTACAAGAAGAGCTGGGGTCCTTGACAGCCTGGAAACCTGGTGAAGGAGAGTTAAAGTTAATGGAAGAAAGGATTGGAGGAAACAAGATGTTGCATAAATTCTATGCTTCCACATCACATTTATTTAATATTTAGCAAAAGGAGAATGACCTCCACATTGACAGACAAGGAAACAAGCTGCACAAGTAACTTAGTAAGTGTTATTCTGGCCTTGACATATCTGTCACCCTCTTAGACTCCAGCTTTCCCCTTCATTTTGTACTTGTGTCCAACATAATCCTTGTTTGGGTCCAGCTAGAAAAACTGAAAGTGTTAAAGGTGATAAATAGGAGCCAGCATTGTGGTGCAGCTGGTAAAACAGCCACCTGCAATGCTGACAGCTACTTCATTTCTGACCTAGATCCTTAGTAATATACCTGGGAAAGCATTGCATAATGGCCCCAGGTGCTTGTGCCTGAGAAACCAGGTGAAGCTCTTGGCTCTCAACTTCAGCCTAGTCACAGCTGCTACAGCGAGTTGAAAAGTGAATGAAGCAGTGAAGATTCTCTCAGGATTCAAACTGGCACCAATGTGGGATGCCGATATTGTAAATGGCAGCTTCACATGATATGCCATAGAGCCAGCCCTTTCAGCCTAATTTAATTCAAGGAATACTTAATGAGAAGGTACTCCTGTAGGTGCCATGCTATAAAGAGGACCAAGCAGAGCAGGTCTCTTCCCTCTTGGAGTTTCCTGCTCAATGAGTGTGCTGAAAAGGATGAATACGCACATGTATTGTGCGTCTAATTCACCTTGACCTGTTTAAGAAGGATGAGGCATAGACTACACATTTGTCCCCTGGCCCTAGGGTTTCCTTTCCTCAAAAAGAGGAAACTCTTCTACCTTATGAATGAATTCCCTACCTTATGACTCAGAACCAATGTCCCACTACAGAAATTCCAGATAGTTTTCCCAGCTTCCTTTAGAATTGGGCAGCACTTGACCTAGACTCCCCCAATCACATGCTCTTACCACATACTTTCAAATACAAGCCAGTTATATGAAAAGAAAATGACTACATGATCTAAGCTAATGACAGTGGTATCATGGCAGTAGCCATATCCAGACAGTTCTGAGACAGGACAAGCATCCGATGTTAGTGGTATTGGGCTGTGAGCAGCAGTGTCTATACCAGGAATCATGCTCCAGCTTCTACTATACCACTTCTGCTGGAACGGAGTTAGAGTGTGTTTCCTAGACAAGCACAGTCACCTCGAGTTCTCTAATGTTTATGGTGCCTGATAATTCTAATATATACACTCAGCTAGTCAGTTGAGTTCTCTTATGTGTGACTAAGAACCATGATAGATTCTTGGAACAAATTGATAGAACACTGGTGGTTTGTGTGGGTGGCAATGTGATTCTTCCAGAAAAGTCCCAATGAGGGTGTCAATTAAACTGTACCTTGAATGATGCCAAGAGGTATTCCAGGAAGAGAAAAGAGCATGTGCAAACATTTTGATGAAGAAATGAGCTTTACTTACATGTTAGACAAAAGGAATAGCCATGAGTGGAGAAAATAGGAGACTGAGAAGCAGGGAAAGCTTGGTGGAAATGTGGAATTTGATCAGATTTGGAACACAACAGGAAGCCTTGAGGGTCTGTAGCAGACCGATTTAATGTGGTTAACACTGTTTTAAAGATTTGCTGTATTTATGTGTGAGAGACAGGGAGAGATCTCCCATGCAATGATCCAATAGGTCATTAACTAAAGTGTCTGGGGCTGGGCAAGGCTGAAGCCAGGATCCTGGAACTCCTTTTTGATCAAGTTCAGGGGACTAAGCACTCAGGTTACCTTCTGCTACTTTCCAACAGGCATTAATAGGGCACTAAATTTATTCCTAGACACTTTCCCTGCACAATTATAAATGAAATACTGCTTTCTTTAAGATTGTTCATGGTTGATGTGTTGCAACTCAACAATTTTTTTCATGTTGGTTGTATCCTATAATATCAGTGTTCATTTTTATTAGCTCTAATAGGTTTTGTATTAGCTATAGGATTTGATTTTATATATGTAATCATGTCATCTGCAAATAAGAAATATATGCTTTCCTTCTGTTCCATTTTCATTTCCTTTCTTGTCTAATTTCGCTGGTTAAAACTTACCAAATATCAGTAAGGAAAGTGGGCAAAGCATTTAGCTTTTTTACCATTGACTATGCTGTTCACTGTGGGTTTTTCTCATAAATATCCTTCATAATATTAAGAAAGCTATCCTGTATTGCTAGTTTTAATACTGAAAGTGTATTGAAATTTGTCAATTATTTTTCTGCCTCTAAAAATTAGCACTTTGCTTCCCCTCCTCATTTCATCCTATTCATATTACATAAATTGATTTTCTAATGAGGAACTACTCTTACATCCCTGGGATAAGTCCCACTTAATCAAAACTTACCTCAAGGCTGGGACATCTCCTGTGTATCAGGCTCCAGAACAACCTTAGGGATTCTGGTTTGAGGTGACTTCATGAACCCAGAATCCAGGTCTACTTTGTAGTGAACCCCAACTCTAGGTCGGCTGCGAGGATGCATGCCTGTCCAAATGTACTTAAGTTCCAAATTCATCACCATTAGAGTCAGTCTCTGGGTATATTCCCTTGAATTCCAGCACCATTCCCACCTACATGTTCACCCAAATACCAGAATAGCCTGCCTAAAGACTCCAGTAGAAATTATATCCATGACCTATGGCTAATGGCCTGCCCTGAATCTCAGATGGGTGGACTGTTAACGGGTTTTCCCTCCCGAAACCAGTCTATGGAGGTTTCACTCCTGAAACTAGTCCATGACTACTGATTTAAATAAAAAGACTGCAATGTATGATCACAAGGAGCATGAACAATCAGAGATTCAAGACATCAACAAAGGAAAAAATAATGTATTAGTAAATGTCTGTAAATAAACAAAAATTTACAAACTTCCTGACCAGCGAGTAGTCAAGAATTTCTGTGTGCTATGTGAAATACACAGCTAAATAAATTCAGGGAGAAAAACTGACAAACAAAATTAGAAGTCTAACGGTGAGACAGAAACATAATAAAGGTCATGTTTATAAGCCCCTGGTTAATTTCATACTTCATATAGAAATACTGAAAGTTTTCTCCCAAGATCAAGAATAGGGCAACGATAGCCACTATCACTATACCTACCTGATTTGTATTTTAAACAACAGTGAGATCAATTAGACAAAAAAGAAATAAAAGGCATGCACATGATAAAGGAAAATGAAATTGTCTTAATCTGTAAAAGATTCCATAAACCAAAAAACAAATTTTAAACTGTTAGAATAAACAAAATCAGTCGAAATTCAGGACATAAAATCAACACCAAAAAAATTGTAACATTTCTACATACCAAAACAAATTTTCTTTTAAAAAACATATTCAAGAGAATAATCCTTCTTAGCATAATTTCAATAGAGAGTAATACATTTGTGATACATTTTGTTAAAGCCGTGAAAGATCTATACAGTGAAAATTACTTAAAAATCAACAAAAGCAACAAAGACAACATGAATAAATGGAAAGACACTTCATGTTCATGAATATGAAAACTGATATTGCTAAAATGTCAGTACTATGCAAAGTAATATCTAAATTCATACTCTAAAAGCATACACAGAAAACAAAAATGAACAAATGAGACTACTTTAAGCCAACACGCTTCTTCACAAACAATGAAATAATCAATATATTGAAGAGATAACCTGCGTGGCAGGAGAAGTATTTACAAACCATATACCTGATAAATAGTTAATACCCAAAATACACAAGGGATTCAGAAAACTCATAATAAGAAAACAACTCAATTTTAAAATAGGCAAAAGATCTGAATAGGTGTGTTTCAAAGAAAATATCCCAACAGCCAACAGGTATACCAAAAACATTTAAAACCATTGACCATCTGGGAAATGTAAATGAAGATGAAAATGAGATATCCTGCGTATCTGTTAGAGCAGCTATCATGAAAAGGATGTGGAACAAACAAAACCCTGTACACATGTGGTGTTGATAGGAATGTAAATTAGTACATACATTATAGAAAATATTACAAAGATTCCTCCAAAAACTAAAAATAGAACCAGCTAAAATCCCACTTCTACATAAATAAATGTATACCAGTATGTCAGAGGTATCTTGACTGCAAAGTTGATTGAAGAATTATTCACAACAATCAAATTTGTAGGATTGGACTCTGACCGAGCTACAAATGTAGCTATCACAGTTCTCAATCTTTAAGGACCAGCAGGCTCTCTCCCAGATCTACCTTCAAGCTCCAACACATGTGAATTTCCAGGTCTCTGAAAGTCAGTGTCTCCAGGTTCCCCAACTCCTCTCTGCCTCACCCAATAGTCATTTGACTGTACCTATGAACAGAAATTCACTAAGCCTTGTGATACATACATCTATTTTTGCTTGGTTCCAGAGAAATAAGGCTTTATGGAAACTTCTAGTAAAAGCTTCCAGTGAGGATTGTATGGTCAAGGTGATGTGAACAATGAATTTATTAATATTTATTCTAGGTTTATGTCTTCTGCAGAGATAGAGATATTAAATGGAGATTGATATGTGTGAAAACAGAAACAAAGTTTATTTTACAGTGCAGGTAATAAACACATACACATGGAGTATGAGCAACCTTACACTGAAATACACATGGGTAAGTCAAATAACTGTTTTTATACTAAGAAGAAAACAGGAACCAAAATCACACCTGTAAAGGGAGGATCTGCCTGAGAATAGGAAGCTAGGAGAGTGCAAAGCTCTGTAGGGATGCAGAAAGGACAGTCACTGCAAATGAGTGAGGCCCAAGGGGGAAAGAGAAGGTTCTCCCATCTTCCACCTCCTTTTGTAGTCCATGTGCACCTGGGATGCAACAGGTACATCCTGGGAAGCCTGGCACTTTGATTAGCCAGCAGGAGTACATGGGGGGAGGGGGACATCAGCTTGTGACTTCTAGCTCACAGACCTAAGAGCTGCCTGCTTGTTTATCCCAC